ATTTGAGGTCTGTAAAATGGATGATATGATTGTGAAATCCCTAAAAAGGTTTTATTCTTTTTTATTGGTAAATCACTTTTCGTGTTTATGTATTTAAATCAAATAGTTGATACAAAATTAAGTTGTTCAATTTATTTATTTTAATTTTGTGGATAGATTTAAATTAAACATTTTCCCTTTCCCGAAACAAATTTAACTTAAAGCTTTTCTCAAATCAAAAGTTATTTTGTTTTTAATTTTCCATTTCCAAATTCAATAATTTTCTGTTAAGGCAATTTAAATTAAATAATCTAAAACATTTTCACTTTCCCGAAAAAAATTCACTCAACGCTTTCCTCAAGTCAAAAGTTGTTTTTTTATAATTTTCCATATCCAAATTGAATAATTTTCTTTTAAATCAATTTATTAAAAACACGACCTACCCTTTAGGCTTGGACAAAGGAAAAGATGTAAATTGACGATGATTATTTAATTTGAGAAACCATGAGCTCAAAATCAAGCGGAGCCAATGAAAAATTGACTCCGATCGATGGGCGATGGAAATTTCACTTTCGTTTTGGGGTCCAGCCTTTCGTTCATTCATTTCACCGCCCAAAAAACAAAAAACAAAAAAAAAGCTGACCTCAGCGAGCATTACGTAAAGGTTTATTTTGTTTTTATTTTTGGTCAGCCACGCCCAGTAGTTGCTGCTGTGTTTTTGTTTTTTCCTCTGGCGGCGCATCGAAGGTTTTAGCCTAAATGGTTTACAAATTTATGCGGTTTCCACCGAAAAATGCTTTCAATTTCGGGTATTTTTTGATGACGAGCGGTTCCCAGGCGGGGAAGGGGTGGGAAAGCTACACCGACTCTTAATTTATATAATACGAATATCATCTAAGCACCTGCTAGCATTTTAAACAGCTCTCAAGAGTCTGCGTTATAGTTACCCAGTTTTTTGTGCCATAGTTTTGCATTCACCAGAAAAGCCAACCTGTTCGCCCATTGACCAAAATTTGCGTATAATTGCTCTACAAGTTGCACTGTTTATGCAAATAGCCAGCTTGTTGGTTGATGAAAAAAAAGAAATAGGGAAAAATAAAAGCAAACTGTGAAATGTACATATTTCTAAACCAGTTTAAATGGCCCGTTCCCTCGTTTTCTGGTTTTCATAATTGATTTATTGTATGTTTTGGTAGAGAGCCGCATTTCCGACTCCACATAAACAATATCCGCCTGCTGTTGGCCAACGAAAAGCGAAAATTCCAATCAATCATTTATGCAAACAACCCCCAGCCAAGGACATTGCCATTAGAATGCGACTGTCCCTCGACTTGGAGTAGAATTGAAATGAAACTTGGCCAACACCCGCACAAAGAACCGATCGAGCCACATTCTAATTCCCGACCAGAACCTGTTTATGGCCAGGCAATTATTTCTGCCTTAATTGTATGTAATTGCCTCTACTTCGGCGGGGGTGTGGAATGGGTGGTTCTATCGCTGCCCGCTGGCCAATTATAAAACCGACACTTGACTCTGGCTTGGAGGGTGTGGAGCTGTCTTTGGTTTTCTTTCCCGACAGAGCCACATTCCCCGGTGACAAGTCTTGGACTCACTTCCTCCACTCTCGGTTGCATTAGAAGGTGTTTAATTAGAGGGTTCTGTCATGTTAGTCGCAATGATTAACGATTGCTGTCCGCTTTTGCGATGTGGAAATGGGGAATGTTCTTTTGATTTTCTGTATAAATTAGCGGAGAGAAAACATTTATGTATACTTCTCTGTAATATTTTTTGTAAACCATACTTTTCTAATGATGTAAAGATCTTCTTTTGACTAGTTTATATAACCATGAATCCCTCTAAAAAGAGAAAAGTCTTTGTCCAACGATCCAGTAGATCATTCTGATTTTTACATTTTAGCTTCTTAAATTTTTTTTTTTATAATAATGCAAACATTGCTATTGTCATTTTTATACACGAAAAAAACTATAATTTATCAATAAAATAATGTACAAAAAATATTTTTAAAAAATTTAAATTGATCCTGATATGAAAACGTCTTGTTCAAACTGTTTCATTTCATATACGAAACTCTCAAAATAAAGATTTTAAAGTTATAAATTTGTTGATTAGAGCACACTATCACACAATCCATACAAAACCATGGTTTTTCAAGCCGATAACTAAACCACTTCCATATTTATCTCTCGAATATCTCTTGTTTTTTAATCAAAATAGATCACTTCAACTCCTTCGTGAATGGTTAACAATTTTTATTTACTCACTTGGCATTGTTTGTTAGCCACTTATCGAAGCACAAACATCGCGGGCTACCTCAACAAATATTTTCCTATTTTTTCCTCCAACCAGTAGATGTGAAATTTGTTTATTTGCTGACAAACTGTTTGAGGTTTTTGCATTCTGCCATTTGCTACTTGCTGGCTGCTGCTGCTGCTTGCCACACACATTTGGCCAGCCCAGTGGGTGCTGGTTGGTGGTGCCCCCCGCCCAGAGCTCCAGTGCTCCAATCTCGAATGTTTGGCCAACAATAAAAGCCAGCCAGCTGGAGAGCTGTTTGGCCAGTGGAGTCGCCTTGCAACAGTTTTCTTTGTTTTGGTTGAGGTTTTTGCAGTTGCGCTGCTCACTGTATTCACTGTATTCACTGCTCGCATTCGGTTTACTTTGTGTAACAAGTTTGCATATGTAATTAACCGACTGCCGGTGGAGTATTAGTAAATATAATTAAAAACATTAATCGGAATGTGCACGATGTGTTGGGCAAACGCCTAAAATGATGCAATCCTTAGATGGTGAAGCAACAACTAAGCCAAATTCTATGATCTAAGGAAAGTAAACAAAAGACTTAGGCGACAAACTTGCATGTGTACAAAAGACTTAAGCAACAAACTTGTTGATCTTGCGTGGGTGAAGCTGCAGAAAAAGTTAACCCATTAGTGCTAATAATCTCTCGGCTGACTCACTTTCATCTCGCAATCTTGACCTTGGGCCTTCGGACATTATTTTCTAATTAGCGAATCGCCACCGAAAGAACACTGTCCACTTCTTGAAATACTTCTCAGGTTTATTTGTCTTTGATATTATCGCCAGACGTTGTCGGAAGCTTATTGTTCTCGTTTCTGGTCTCCATTTTCAATTTTGTTAGTTTTTTTTATGATTATATTTTTGTTATCTTTCGTATTTATGTTCTGATCAGTTCTGCGGAGTCCATTAAAAGTGAGTAAATTAAATGAAATTTTGTCAAACCAAAAGAGGTAGTCATATGGGGTTTACTGAACTGGGCGCGGATATATGATGTCAGAGATCTAGGAAATGAGTTATGCCTGGCCGAGCCACTAAGTATTTATGGAGTCACCTAGGCCTGGGGTAAATATAGTTTTAACTATCTGGCAAATGGATGTGGGAGTGTCTTATTTTGTGTATTTGATTACCTCTAATGAGAGGCGTAATAAAAATGTGGGATTACATTGAGTCATTTTGGTAGAATACGTTCCTTAATAGGGTATGTCTAGAATAATATTCTTCTCTTTGTACAGCACTTACTGAAAACTATATTTTAGCCTCTGGAACTTTCAAAATCTTTGAGCTTCATTCAAAAACTTCAGTTAACCAAGACGACCTTCAATAAATACAAAAACGAAGAAGCGGCTTTTGAACAATAAAAACAACAATAGCGAGTGCATCGCAGAGAGCGGACAGCCAAGAAACTTGATTAAAGTTAAGAAAAACGTAAAGTTCAACTTGTTTCTGCTGTCATTTGTTGCTGTTTCTTGTTTGCTTCGCTTTTGTTGCACTTCTGGTGAAGTATTTGCGCCATGGCTTGACATTTCGCACAAAACAAAAAACAGGGCGAGCAAAAAACCCAAAAAAAATAAAAGGAGAAAAAATACAAATGAAGAAGAGGCTGCAAGATTTCATGCTTTTATTTTCGCAATTTGTTGCACCAGCCCAGCCCAGTGCGATATAATGAATCTGAAAATGCCCGGGCTATTGTCACTCGCGTAATTAGCCGGCTGCTCTCAAGCCCCCAATAGCCAGCTCTATCTATATAGCTGGTCGACTACACAAGATCGGGGGGACCAGCAGCTATAATGCCGTGCAAATTTCAAATTCTTTGCTGCAAAACTGTAAATGTCAAGCTGAGGGGTATGCCAATATGCCACAGTGGTCGTGGGTTTGCTTACATTTTTTAATTAAAGTCTAAGCCAATACATGTGATTTAGTTGAAATTAATCATTAGGAAAATCCTACATATAAAGTAAACTGATAGAAAATTTCATTGGGGAGTTACTCGGCTTTTTATGTTTACCGATTTCAGAGAATTCATTTACTTAAATTTTTTACATCAATTTTACTTTATTATGCAAATATACAGTTGATTCTGACACTTTTTTCTGTGCACCTACAAAAGTTCACGATTTAAAGAGGAAGGTATAAAAAATGGCAAGGAAAAAATATAAAAAATTAAGTGTTATATTTATGAAGAAAATGATATACAGATACATTGCACATTAAACTAAAATACATTTGGACGTTTTAATATAGAAAACCATTGTGAATGTAATAAAGATATAGTCACAGAAGTGTTTAGACGCTAATCACTTTATACTTTTACGACTTTATGTCTCAGGAAATCATAAATGTTTAAAAATAAAAATTTTAATAGTTATCTTAAGCAGAACACAATAATAAAGCACTGTGCCGGGGGAATAGCACTTGACGTGACCAGTCTGGGTACCAAATACCGATTACCGATCACCGATCGCCGGCTGAAAATGGTATTGCATTGAACCGCTTGGCCCACACAACGCCCCTCGATCGTTTGCGGCCCCATTGTCTCGATCATTTTCCACTCTTTTTTTATATTTTTTAGTTTCGCTTAGTTGCGCCAAATGCCAAATGCAGAAGACAGTTTGAGAGCCACCTTGTCGATGAGTTAGAACAGGGCGGCTAAGTTGAAACGGATTTGAAAGCCATTGTAGTAGCCGTAGCCTGTGCCCTAGCTTTCAATGGGATTGTCACATCGAGAGACCCTTGAATAAAAGGCCAGTAGAAAGAAAAACGAATTCGAGTTATTGTGGCAAAATTTCCAGTAACTAAGTAGCAAAATGGACTTGGATGACAGCTTGACAAGCAGCCAAATTAGCAAGCTTGAAGATTCTCAGTCGGCAGCAGGGGCTAAAAGAAAAATATCACATAGTCCACCTGAATCTTTCCTCCGGGATTTTAAGAAGTGGCAAGGAATGAGCTCTGTAGACCTGGAGACTGAGAAGAAACTTAAGAGGAAGGCCACCAAGGCGTGGCACCAACTGGCTCCGAAACTGAAAGTCAAGTACCTAATAAAAATAAGAGTTCAGACATCGCAGGAGCGGAAAATCAGGGATCTGAAACTGAAGAAACTTTCTAAGGAAAAACCACTGCAAAATGGGGTTATGCGCAGCAGCAAACTAAAGCTAAAGCGCAAAGTCATCCTGGTGGAACCCTCATTAAAGATTCTGCGTCCCAAGATGATAGCCCGAAGACCAACTCCGTTGCCCAGTCCTCGGAAAAGAAAGGAAAATCGTTCAAAGACTTTGCCTAAATATGTTCCCTATCGTCAAAAGTCTTCAAAACTATAATATAATACAAATTTTGTAGTAATATAACCGTAAAACGACTTGAAAATATATAAAAATCCTTATAAAAGGTATTTTTACAGATGGTGATGTCTTGCCTTACTAAATCTACCTTTTCAAAAAGTGTTGGGTATATCTAATGTCTGATTATAAAAGTCCCTTATATACAGAATGAATAGTTTAGTATTTTAATGGATTACTAAATCAAATGGAAAATATTAATTTTATAAATTATATAAATCGTAAATGAAAATTTTTAAACATATATGTTTGTAAACACATGGATTACATATTCGAAGTGATTTTCTCTGCTTACCAAACTGAACAGTGATTTTCAGATTATCATAAATTCTGCTCACACATATTGAATCCTCAAACCACAATTACCATAAAGTCCAATTACGATCGATAGGCTTATTTATGCGACAAGAGCCCGAAGGTTGCCGACGTCTCGTAAAATTCTGTCCAGAAATAGGCAAATGTGTCACGACATGGAATCGGCGTATTTTTATTTATTTCGATGGTTTTTCAATTTTAGGTCAAGTGCAGACGGAATGCTAATGAGAGGTTTCCCCAAGAAAAGGTGTTCCTGCTAATAAAAATAAATAAAAACAAAGTGTATTCACCCACATGTGAACTGCAATGCCCACTTAGAAATGGAACTATAATGCAGTGTCAACGGCAATGGAGAATGAACGATTTAATCTACCTTCTGCGGATTAGAGCGAGCTACGCTTGAGATAGTAGCCACTCTTGCCCAAGCGCAGAAGGAAAAATGTTATATTAAGTATAAGGGAGGAGAGGTATACCTCGGTGGATTCGAACTCGAGACCCAAAATTCTACCAAGAACTAAGAACTTAGACCGCAGCGCCATCAACCTCTCTCAATTTGTATGGTCTAAATTTAAACCCTACCCCCACGACAAGCAGTGGTCAAGCAGAATAGCAAGCAGTGCAGTTAGAAGTAAAATGGAAGTAAAATTAATGTAGAGAACGTACAAAAGAACGTTCTTTTCTTTATTTTTTTAAGCTCCTCTTCCGCGCAAAAAAAACATACCTATATATATATTTTGTTAGATATCATATCATATTAATTTATTAAAATATAAAAGCCAACAATGTTAGATCGACCTTATAGCAATCAATTTTTGACAACCTGCAGATTTACTCAGTTAAAAACAACGGAAGTGGGCGTGTTTGAAACAACCTTAAATAAACACTCAATTGGCTGCTGCAACTGCCTTGGCATACAAATTTTCGGGTATATTTCTTCTGACAGATCTCTGGGCCATTAATCAAATGCAAACCCTAAACTAATCTCCAGTCAGTCATTTCGACAACCCAAAAACTGGCAAATGTGCGAGACATGCGACGCCTCGTCGCGTTCTTAGATGCGATAATAAACGGCAATTACTTGCAGTTAAAAGCGTTTCAGGTAAAAAAAACAAGGTGTGAAGCCCAAGAGTGCCAGATAAATACATATAAATTCGACTTGAATCAACGTAGGCGTAGTCCCCACTCCAAAGTCCCCACCTCGGGGGCTCTTGCATAAATTCGTCTGATAAAATTTTCAATGAATCGCTGCTGCAATTTCGTTTGAAATACTGCGGCCATATGATATTTCAATTTTCAATTAGCGACTCGAAAATCTGTCGACACACGAGGAAAAAACTGAAGTTTGCGTGGTTCAACTGCATTTTCTTGTTTACTATTTTTTTTAAGGCAAGACATTGTGGGTCAAAGAGTCAGGATTGTGACGCATGCAACATTATCTCAGAGTTGGGTGACTACTTTACCCCGTCCATAACCCATTTTATCTTCTCTATTCCCCACGAAATATTTCGCCAATATCGCCAATTATGTTAATATCCGCTTGCAGTCTTTGCTACACTTTCGTTTTCCAATCATTTTTTAACTCAACTAAAAGGCTGAATTGTGCAAAAATAAGCCGCCAAAGATGCGGCAAAGTAAACATGAAAAATGGGACAAACAAGTCTAAAAATTTAACAATTTAATGGGGTGTTATTAGCTTAACTACTTGAAAATCTTCAAAATATAATAGCTATTATTATGGGATATTTATGGAGAAATCGATGTAACACATTTAAGGTTCACTCTTCGATTTTGGGACTTTTATTTGGTAAAAATCGCCATTGAAAAAATCCGCACCTTCGAGTAATTACCTAAGGGAATTTTCAACCAATCAGTCCATTCATTCACTTGATTCACATTCACTTTGGTTTGACAAAAAAACAAAATATTTCATTTTGCCAGGCACAGTGGGCATAATGTTACAGTTTCTGGTCAACAAATTTTTTTTAATGTTATAAAAATATTAACATATTTTTATTTATCTATTTTTTACTTCGATTTATAGTTTTTTAAGTTAAAAATACTATTTTCCTTAAATAAACATTGTCTTTTTGCCCCACTGTACATGCTGTGACAAATATGTGACCCAAAAAAATAAAATAATTTATTTGCTGCCAGCCTGCGGGCATTATTTATTTATTTATTACATTTTTAGCGCAATTAAGAGCAATGATTTTGGTTTTTGGAGGCAGCGCGATTCATGGCTAAACGACGCCAGAGGCGCTGAAATGAACAAATTAATTGATTGTTGACACATTTACGCTCTATTGACTAATAACTGTGTGACCTTCAGATACTTCCAGCTACTATTTTCCATCGCAAAATCGATTCGTGCCATCGGCTGGAACCTTTCCGCGCCAGCAGCCGCAATCTTTGAGTGGATTCCGGGCCAGTTCCGGCGGATTTTCCCCCTCGCCGGGCTCCTACCAGGAACAGCTCCTGTTCATAGCCAACGAAAATGCCAAGCAATCCCCTCCAGCGGCCACCTCGCCATTCGGAACTCAATTTGGAGGCGGTAGTTCCCAGTTTGCGGTAAGTTTTTCGCTTGCACCAAATTCAAATTCAATTATTTCCCCACAACATTTCCTTGTTCGGCAAAGGGGGCGTTCAAGCAGCTCCGCTCTAGGCAATTAAGTGGTTTTTTTTTGGGGGGTTTTCTCTTGTATTTTTTTGTGGGCTCTAGGCACGCCAGTCAATCAACGCCAAAAATGAAATCAAATCGAATGCAAAATGCAAAAGGATTTCCACATGCCACATATGAAATTTGATTTAGTTGGCTGACCAAAATTGCAGGCCGGAATTTAAATTGCCGTTTGGCGGTTGAGATGGTGGCGTGACACGAAAGAGCTTTATTAGGATATAAAAATCAATGTCTAGCGATCGTTTTGGATCAAAGAGTTTCAAAGCATTTCTATTTAGAGAGTGTTTAAAAATGTTAATAACAAAAAATTGTATTTAACAGGGAACAAAGCAGTTGTACCTTTAAAAATCATACTTTTATAATTATTTATCATTTTTTAATTAATATTCAGAAACAAAATGCTACTTTCTGATCGAATAACAAAAGTCTAAAGTTAGTTAAGAACTTTACTTTTCCTTACATGAATTCTCCAAAACAATGAGAACGCGAATTCTTCAGAACAGCCATGGGAACATATTTGTTAGTCCTAACCATGCATGAATTTTTTAACACAATAAAATTTCAATTCTTCAGAACAAAGAAGAATTAATATTATTTAATGGTGGTATAACGTTTCTAAAACTAGCATACTTGTTTAAAGTTTCAATCCATCAGTGATCTTCAAAGGTCACCCTTTCTCTTTTATCGCTCACCTAACATAATTCTCCATACGTTTTTAATATTTAACTTATTTCTACGGCACGCGACTGTCAAAAACTGTTAGTTGCTTTTAAAAAATATCCGTAGGTGGCACGCTAGCACGTAAAAAACAAATAAATCCCCAACACAAAAACTACAATCGAATTATAGATATAAAATTTATGCGTGAACGAAATGGCGGGAACTGCAGGCTGGCCATTTGGATTCGGATGGCTGTATATAGTATACTTTCACTTGACCAAAGGCAAACAAAGCGAATCGGCTTCTGCATATCAACGAATATATGCGTGAGCAATTGTTGGGTATTCAAAGCCACGCGAAGAGGTTGTTTTCTTAATTGAAAAAAGTGTAAATTCATATTGTTTATGGCCAGTCAGCGAATGCGATGAGCACGCACTTTGCCTGCAGCCTGCAACTTGCATCTCGCAGCTTTTGGCCCTAATTGAAATAATATTGGTGGACCCAAAGGGAAGGAGGTGGTGCCTCCCAGCAGGGGTCTTCGCTGGGGATTGCTGCACCATCAATCCCGAACTGCACAATTCACAATCTGGAGCCACGCCACTCGTATTGTGCTGCTAATTTGGTTACACACTGGGAGAGGGTACTATCGAAAGGTTGTGAAATTGAAATGGAAAGTGGAAAAGTATTGTGGGAACCAATAGGAATCATTATGAAAAATGTTAGTTTAGATTTGGTCAAACGACACTTGCTTAAATTTCAATTAAAGGATCGGAAAGGGGATCTTCAGATCATGTTTATAAGTATGAATTTGAATATTGAATCAAATGAATGTTTTTATAAATCGAAAAGTTGTGAAATTGAAATGGAAAGCGGAAAAATATAAGGGAACCAATAGAAATCATTATGATAAATATTACTTTAGATTTGGTTAAACAACACTTGCTTAAATTTCAATTAAAAGATTGAAAAGGGGACCTTCAGATCATGTTTATAAGTATGAATTTTTATATTGAATCAAATGAATGTTTTTATGAATCCATCTATTTAGTTGTATTAAGGCCAGTAGAAAATGGGGAATAAAGTTACAAACCCATAAGAATAAAGGTTTTAAAAGGGGGAATATGAATATCCATATCCATTACAAGTAACTCCTTACAGTAAAGACAACATCATCGATTTGCTAGGGTATTACAAGCTTCGGTTACCGAACTTATATTAATCTTCCACCTTACCTAATGGAACTGACTTGCTTATGAGCCAACGAAAAACTCAATTAACCTGGCTCATGACCAGATAAGGTAGCTCCCAAGAATCCATGGGCATACATATCTCCGAATGATGAATGAAGACAGTTTTAGGCG